GGGGAATGCTAATGTACTCCCACCTATTTTTTAGTGGGAGTATGTTAGCAACCTACACCAATTTTTTAGGACAAAAAAACCACTCATTTATTTTGATTTGGTTAATTCGTACAAAGGATATTATAGTAATTTAATTTAATTTTAAATGAAAACAAAATATTTTCTCTCTCTTATTAATTTTATTCTCTAAATCATTTCTCTCTTATTAAATTTCTTCTCCAACTCATTTCTCTTTCTTATTAAATTCTTTCTTTAACTTATTTATCTCTCTCCTATTAAATTCTTTCTTTAACTCATTTCTCTTTCATCTCTCATGATGTCTCCCCCCTCTCTCTCTGAACAAATAAAAATTTATTAATAAATAAAAATAAATGATGTCTTCCAAACCTTAACTCACAAATCCTTCAATCTGCGGCGGTGGGACTTTTGACTCCCACAGGATGAGTGAGATGCAGAGTTTCCATAGTCTAAACCTAGGTGGAGGTGATGGATGTGTAGGAGGGGTGGATGGGGCTAGTGTCGGTGGCAGCGATGATCGCTTCTCTCTCCTTAAGGCTCTCATATTCGAGATCTTCTAAGAACTGTGCCACCGTCCTTCGCCGCAGCTCGCGCACGTCGAAATCCTCACCACCCATGGCCTTGCGCGATGTTGGTGGTGGCAGCGACCGAGTGGAGTTTCTGGGGGGTGGTGAATTTTTAGGTGGCGGGGACCGTGGCGGCGTGGCGGGCGAAGGAGGTGACGAATTTCGCGGTAGTGGTGATGATGAGTTGTTTGGTGGTGTTGTTGATGGCTGTGGCAGTGGTTATGATGGTGGTGGAGATGTATTGTTAGAAGGGTTTGATGGTGGGGCGGTGAAGTGCTTCTTAATGGAACCGGTGCTGACGGTGGTGGCGGTGGTGGAGAGCTAGGTGGAACTAGTGGCAGCGCCAGAGAAGTTAGCGGCAGTGAAGACAACTAAATTAAAAATACTTATGATTTTTATTTTTTTCTTCCAAATTTAATCGACAATAATAAATCAATTTAGTAGTATATAGATGAGGCATATAATAAAATACTCCATGTTAGAAGCACTCTAAGGTAGTGTTTGTTTCCATGGATTTACTGTTCACGAGCAAAGAAAGGCGAAGAAACTTGTTGTTCGTTTCCGGTGATTTGCGACGACAAAAAGGCGAAGAAAATGGGGGAGAAGCGTGATTCTCGTCCTCGCACAAAAGCGAAGAAAGCAGAAGAAAGCCACGTAGGATTTATAAAAACCCGAAAATGCCCCTTCGCATGCATGCGTAATGTGCCATGCAGTAGAGGAAGCATATACAAAGGAAGCATAATCGATTATGCAAGGCTACATAATCGATTATGCAAGGCCATAATCGATTATGTAGTCTTGCATAATCGATTATGCTTGGCCACATAATCGATTATGCTGTATATATATACACAGCATAATCAGCATAATCGATTATGCTGTGTATATATACACGGCAATATATATATACACAACATAATCGATTATGCTGTGTATATATACAGAGCATAATCGATTATGCTATGTATATATACACAACATAATCGATTATGCTGTGTATATATACACAGCATAAATATAACATAATCGATTGTTATATGTTATACATATAACATAATCGTATATATATATATATATAAAATATTAATATTTAATATATAATATATATATTAAATATTAATATTTTATATATATTTTAATTTATATATATAAATTAAATATTAATATTTTTATTTTTTCACTTTTATATATATTAAAGTTTGTTTATTTATATTATACAATTTTTTTTATATTAAGAAAATCCTATTATTTAAATATTAATATCAAAAAGTGAAAATATAAAAAAAATAATACCTGTTTATAAAATTAAAATAATAATATTTTTTATTTTTATTAATATTAATATTATTTATTATAATTAGCATCATTATTATTTATTATGATTCTTATTATTTTTTTAATATTTATTTTTATTCTTATCATTATTTATTATTTTTTTAAAAATTATACTTATTAATATAATTTTATTGTAATTATTATTATTTATAATAAATAATATTATACTCATTTTAATCTAAGGGTAAAAGTATAAATCATATTTATTTATTAAATTTTTAATTTTTATCTATCATTAAATTTAAAGTAAATATTTAAATTAAATTATTTTTAATATTTTATAATTTTTTAAATTAAAATTTATATATTTATTTTTTAATTATAATAATTATAAACTTTTTTAACTTAAGGGTAAAATAGTAATCTTACACAATTATCAATTAAAAAATTTATTTTTATCTATCACATCAATCAATTCACTCACAAACTTTCACAAACTTTCTCTACACTTTCCACTCACTTTCCCTTAATCCAAACAACCTCACTTTCCACTCACTTTCCCTTCAAATCTTTCCTTTTCCACTCCCCCTTTTCCATCTTCAAATCCAAACAAAGCCTAAGGTAACATAATTCTCCAAATTGAATATCATTATCCTTTTTTTTTTCAACTAATTTTCTAAGATTATATCTTAGACTAATTTAATTTGGACGAAAGAGAAGTAAAATTTAATTAAGAATTACTTTCAAGAAGTAAATATCATTGTTTCTGTAGAATTAACATACTCTTTGACATTTTTTTTCAATATATTCTTTACTATTAATTAAATTAAAATTTAATAAAGATTATAAATGAAATTTGTTATCTATGAAATAACGCTTACAAATTTTTGCTATTAAATTGATTAATAAATTTTTACAACTATATACAAATACTATTTAATAAGTATTATTAAATGCAATTAAAATAGTGTATTAAATTATTGCTACCATTTATCATTGGTAACTATTAATAAAGGGAATATCTTTTTAAATAAATATTTTCTTTTCATATTTTACATGTATATACCATTTTGACTCTTATTTATATTCTAACTTCCTAAAAGATCACCCTCTATGTTAATATCTATTTTTTCTTATTTTTTTATTTTTATTTTCTAAAATTACTCTCAAGTAACTGTTTATTTTTTTATTTTATTTAACAGTTACTCATAAATAATTAATCATAAAAATAATTATATTTTTAATATAGTCCATGTGCATAATGCCTTAATCCTACTAGTATATAAACAAAATACATGAAATATGCTCTTAACTTTCACATAAAATTAAATATTATTTACTATATTTGAGAAATATTAATATTGAAGTTTTCAATTTTTCACAAATTCTTTTTGATTAATTTTGAAATGCATTTCTATCCCCTTATATTTGAAAGTCATCATAAATTCAAGGTCATATTCTTTTGTTGTGATTTTTAATTTAACCAACATAATTTCACTCATATTTATTGTAAGGATTAAATAATTTTTTTTATCTTTATAATATATCTATATTTAATATTTTAATTCTCTTAAAATCTTGTTTGGTTGTGTTTTTATTATTATTATTATTATTTTTTTATTTCAGCTCTTCGTTTTATTACGATTTTCTATGAGATTATAAATTTTCATGTAAATTAATTTTATATTAATTTTTTAAGATTATTTTTTTTCTTATTATTTAAGAAATTTTGTGTTATCCAAGTTATTTATGCCATTACTCATTACTCAACTGTCACTCTCTTGAGGTCAAGAACACATTTTCTTTAATAGGGAGACAAATAAAAATTAAATGGACCCCAAAAAAAATAACTAATATATTATAAGAACTAAAAAGCTTATTTAAATTTTGGTGAAATGCTGATTCCTTTCTTAAAAGAAGCCAGACAAACTCATTTTAGACTCACTTTATGTTGATTTGAGTTGAATAATAATAATAATATATTTTATAATACAATTTTTTTTAACACGCTCTTTATTACGAATTAAAATTTATTGAAGATTATAAAATTTATAAGTCAAACTCATTAAACAACAAGTAATATACTGATGAAAAAGTAATATTTCATTATTTTTTTAAAAAATTATTTATTGAATAAAAAGTGTATTAAAAAATATACCAGAGAATTAGTTGCTTTTGTTGAAAATTACTCTTTCTATCTTAAATCTTTAATTTTTTTTTCTTCTCTTTGTCATCCAAAAACAATTAATGTTTTAGAATTTTAAAGTCAAATTATTATTTTTTAGATTATGCTCTTATATATTATTCCACTAAACAGTGTATTAACATCCAACAAGACAGTAAAGTTGAAATAGTAAAATAGTAAATAGGAATTTTTTAGTCAAAATTTAGAACTATTAAATACTTTTTAATTCACATATATTAATTTTAAAATATTAAAGATCTGGGATGAAGAAAGTAGCTTTTATCCATTTTTATTCTTCTTTTTGGGGGAGTTGGGAGGTTTGTTATCTTAGTGTTAATTTGCAACATGCCAATATTCGTTTTCAACTTTCAAAACTCTGTCTCTTTGAGCACAGAAAAGTTACTGTATATTGGAAAATGGGTTCCTCATTGGCCTAATTTGGGTCCCATTTGAGTGTAAAGCTTCAATTTATTTATTTATTTACTTAGGAAGACATAAATTTATTTCTCACTGTTACTTTGCAAAAGAGTAAGAGCTTCTTCCTCTTTTAGGAATCTCCATCCTGCGGCTAAGTCACACATGGCTCTCAACTCTTTTCCATTTCAAGTTGCATTGTCAAGTCCTTATCTTGCTACATTGTGAGATTTGTTTCTGGGAATGGCCAAGATTTTGTGGTGCTCATGGTAGTTGGTGGTGGCTTCTTGAATTTCTGAGCTTGAGTTTTGACTATTCCTTCGGGTACTAAACTCTTTTTTCCTTTTTCTTTTTTTTTTCAACCCCACTTGGATCTTTTCAGATTTTCTCCTCACCCCTTCAACTTTGTCTTCACTCTATACCTAATATTCTTAGAAATTTTGTGTCTTGGCTTCTTTATCATTTCCCCTCTCAACAACACTTTGAAAGCAAAAATTCTCGAGCTTTAGCTTATCTTAGCTTCTCTATTCTCATTTGTTTGTGATGATTACTTAGATAGAGTTCAACAAGACCTTTCACATGTAACCGAGACTTGGGGGTATTTGGTTGATTATTGTATCTCTTAATTTGCCCCTCTAAGCATATTCTAGACATGCTTGGACAAGGGAATTTCCTCCTTAGATTACCATTCTTGCTATATATCTTCATTTGCTTCTTGATACGTTCTGTTGTGGGAGCTGAGATTCCATTAGGTTCCAAATTTTCTGTGGCTGACAATGATTGTTGGGTTTCCTCCAATGGTGATTTTGCAATTGGATTCTTCAACATTTCAGATCAACCTAACCAGTTTAGTGTTGGCATTCGGTTTAATTCGGAGTCTATTCTGGTTAGCCAACAAACTGTGGTTTGGGTTGTTGGTGGCCAGGACACAGTAGGCTACATGTCTTACTTTGAACTCACACAGGAAGGGGAACTGGTCCTGTTTGATTCCTCACAAGAAGTTTCTGTTTGGACTAGCAACACAGGAAACCGATCTGTAGCTTCAGCTATGCTCCTTGACAATGGAAATCTTGTCCTAATGGACAAAGAGCAACACATCATTTGGCAAAGTTTTGATACTCCATCTGATACACTTCTCCCAGGACAAAGCTTGTTTGCCACCAATATGCTTCGTGCTGCGAGCAAGAATCACAAGTCCAGTTACTATACTCTTCACATGAATGCTTCAGGTCATTTGGAGCTACATTGGGAAAGTGATGTTATCTACTGGACAAGTGGAAATCCTTCTGCTTTGAATCTCAGTGCATTCCTTACAACCAGTGGAGCTCTGGAGCTTCGAGACCAGAGATTGAAACCTGTTTGGTCTGTGTTTGGAGAGGATCATAATGATTCTGTGAAATACAGATATCTCCGGCTCGATGTGGATGGCAATCTTCGCTTATACTCATGGGTTGAAGGTTTAGGATTGTGGAGATCGGTGTGGCAAGCTGTTGAGAATCAGTGCAAGGTCTTTGCAACTTGTGGTCAACTTGGTGTGTGTGTCTTCAATGCCTCAGGTTTTGCTGAATGCCAATGCCCATTTGAGGTAATTGGGACTAAATGTTTGGTTCCAGATGAAAGGGAGTGTGAATCTGGCTCCAATATGATAGCATATAAGAACACATATCTTTATGCATTCTACCCTCCTGTTAATGCTGTTATCACAAGTAGTTTGCAGCATTGTCAACAGCTGTGCCTGAATGACACGCAATGTCGGGCTGCAACCTTTTCCAATGATGGAATTCCACAATGCTATATAAAGAAAACTGGGTATGTAACTGGTTATTCAGATCCTTCTGTAAGCTCAATATCATTTGTTAAGAAATGTTCAGGTCCGTTTGCTGTAAATCCAAGTCTCACCATGTCTTCTCCTTCCAAACCATCTTCTAGGCTGTGTGTTCCTTGTCTAATAGGAGCTGCCACAGGCACATTTTTCATCTTTGTTATTCTCCAATTGGGAATTGGGATCTTCATAATCTACAGAAGAAAAAACTCTACCAGGAAAAAGGCCACTTTAGCTTTCATAGGCACAAACTCAAAGGGCTTAATAGTGTTGTCCTTCTCAGAAATCAAGAGCGTCACAGGGGATTTCAAGAATCAAATTGGGCCAAAGGTGTTCAAGGGTTTGCTACCAAACAATCACCTGATTGTGGTTAAAGACCTGAATGCGTCCATAGAGGAAAGGAAGTTCCGAAGTGCTGTTATGAAGATGGGTAGCATCCATCACAAGAGCCTTGTGAAACTAGAGGGTTATTGTTGTGAGTTTGATCATAGGTTTCTAGTGTATGAATACTGCAAGAAAGGTTCAGTGGACAAGTACATAGATGATTCTACTCTTTGCAGGATGCTAACATGGAGAAAGAGAGTTGAGATATGCTCAAGTGTGGCAAAGGCCATATGTTATTTGCACTCAGGGTGCAAGGAGTTCATAAGCCATGGAAACTTGAAATGTGAAAATGTCATGTTGGATGAAAACTTAGGTGCCAAGGTGACTGAATTTGGGTTTGCTATTGCAGATGGTAAGGCAGCATTTTGTGGCTTTTCAGCTGAGAAGGATGTGGAGGATTTTGGCAAGTTGGTTTTGACCTTGTTAACCGGGATTCGCGATCATGAACACGTTGAACTTTGCGAGTGGGCATATAAAGAATGGATGGAAGAGAGAGTGGCCAATGTGGTTGATAAGAGAATAGAAGGAGATTGTGATTCAGAAGAGCTCGAGCGCGCATTGAGAATTGCATTTTGGTGCCTTCAAATGGATGAACGTAGGAGACCTTCCATGGGGGAGGTAGTAAGAGTGCTTGATGGAACATTGAGTGTTGATCCCCCACCACCTCCATTTGCCTTTCAGAGACCCTTACAGGTAGATGATTCAGAAGTAAATGGCTCAGAGTTAGAAGTATTCAATTTTTAGGAACTTTAGTTCATTTGTTTTCATGTTATTTGACTTCATAATTGATGTGTATAGTAGGACTGGACTAACTTGTAGATGACAAGAAACTATGTTCATTGTTTCTTGCCCCTTAACCTATTAGTTGTAGTTAATCTGTAAAGACATTTCTGTTCATTTCTGATCAGCAGCATCTGCCTTAAGTTGTCTCCACTTAAAGACATACTTGAGAGTTGAGAATGAGGCATTTTGTATGAATGAGCATTTTTTGTGTGTGTGGATATTGCTATTTATTGTAACTTAAGAGGACAAAGTAGGCTAAGATAAGATAGAAGTTCAGTTATAGTTAATAGTCTGGGAGCATTCCATTCTAGTGAGTGTTTCTTTCAGTTATGATACTTGCACTGACTTGTTCCATTCATGCTCTTCTTGTTAGTGTGTATACATTTGGAATTGTAAATGAGAGTAGGTGTAAAATGAATGTAAAAATATTAGAATTGTTGGATAACATCTGGAAAAAAAATTTTTGGCACCCATTTGGAGTGTATACACCTCATTGACAAAGAGACAGATAAGAAGAAAGTAAGAAAAATGACGGATGTATCAGGAAAGAAAGAAAAAGGTTAAAGTTGATAGGCTTAAATCTAATTTTGGTCTTTGGAAATTTGTATTTTTGGTTTCTCAAATTTTTTTATTACAAATATGGACTCCTTAGTTTTCAAAAATTAGGCAATGTTAATTCATCTATTAACATATCTATCTAAAATTAAATAGAAAATGTGAATGTGTCTATGAATAATACTATTAGACACTTGATTAACATGTAGGAAAATAATAATATTAATAATTTAAAAATATATTGAATAGATTATGAATTTTAAAAATTATTTTAATTGATTATAAGTTTTAACTGAAATAAATAAGAAACATAAGATACATAGTTAAAAAGTAATGTTCTTTATAGGGAAGCTAATGTGACTAAGTAATAACTAGACAATGTTGTTCATGGGCATATTAACATTTTTTTATTTATTTTAAATGACATGTTTAATTTTAAAAATTAGAAAAATAAAATTTATAATAAAAAGATTAGGACAAAAATGATATAATTGTGAAACTAAAAGTATCAAATGGATTTAACCCAGTATGATAATAGTTTGGTTTGATTACAAACTATCATTTTAAATGGATATAAAATCAAGACATATTTTACAATTATATATGTAATATATAATAAGTAAGAGAGTTTTCTATTAATTATTACGTATTGCTATTCTACTTGTGTGTATGTGTAAATCAAAGCATGAGAACTGGCTGCAATGTTGCTAAATCAAAACCCGTGCCTAATTATGGTGCAAAGTCGTTGAAGTTGAAAGCATGCCTTTAAAAATCTGTGATTCAACCCCTCTTCTTATCTTCAAAAAGGTGAATGGGTCAACCCATTGGGTTATAATGCACTTGTTAAGTTTGTAGGCCCAACATCTTTCCCACAGCTCTAAAAAAACAAAGGAAAATACTGAGAATGGAGAAAGCGTGTCGGTAGAAGACTTCAAAATTCAACTCGAAAAAAAAATAAAAATGCTTGGTTTGGTTATTTTAGTATGGACCACATGAATTTCTACTATCTACAACAAAATTCCCTTTACAGACATTTAACAAAGGTACATATTTAGAGTTCCAATTCAACATCACTCATTAAACACTTTTCAATTGATATGTGCTCGGTGGTATGCTTAGTTTGGTTTGTTGACACGAAAATCTATTTTTAATATAAAAGAATAGTGTGAATTGGATTAAAATTTTTAATATAAATTTATACTCTTTTTTGCTTGATATAAATTTGTATTTAAAATAGAAGTCTCTAGATACAAGTTATTTTGTTGATTTTAAATTGAAATTAATTTTACAAAATATTTATTGTTTAAAATGTTTATAAAATTCATTTAAAAGCAATGAATGGGCAAGCAACTATTGGTATAACTGGGACTAGGCTCTCACAACCTAGTAAACCAAGGTTCAAATCAATTTTTTTTAGTGAGATGTTTATACTTAGTGATCTACCGATCTCAAATATGGTTCTCTCTCTCTCTTTATATATATATATATATATATATATATATATATATATATATATATATTTGTGGGGTAAAAAATGAATGATATTAATGTTGATAGCTAACCCAATTACACTTCTGAACAAAACAATACCTTGGAAGTGTCCCAAACTCTTCCCACGGTTGGAAACAAGATATAGAAATAGAAAGAGAGAAAAAAGATAAATTTTGGAGGAAGAAACAATTCTTGGTTTGATTCATTAAAATCAAAATTCTTTTGTTTCTAAAATTATGATTGATTAAAACTAAATATTTTTATATTTTTTGTGTAAAGTTAAAAAATTTGTAGTAAATTTTTACTTAAATTAAAAGTTTTATGTAAAAAATTAATTTACATACCTAATTAAATTTGTTTACATAATTAGAAATAAGTTTCAAAAACCCAACTGTGGTTTTTTTAAAACAAAAATAGATGCTTGTCAAAAATAAAAAAAGAAAAGACTTTGATAGAAAAAAGATACAAAACAAAATAGAATTTGTCTCAGATACAAATTTTACTTGTGATATGTGGGATTTGGATTTTGAGATTGTCAGTGATGAAACTTAATTATTACTCAACTCAAAAGTAAAACTTTGGGCTTTACATTTTCACGATTTTTTTTAATCTTTTACTCCTTATTATTTTTGTTTCTCTTGATTCCAAAAATACCTTTGTTTGCACTTCTTATCTTTCTCTCTCACCCCCAAAGCACTTTTTGCACCTCTCTCTCTTATTATCCTTCTTTGAGTCTTTTTTATCCGTTCGATATGATTCTTTCTTGATTGTATTGTGTTTATATGATTATAATTGTTTTTGTGTGACATATTGATGGAAGAAAGCTTCATGGTGAAGGGGAATTTGAATATTCACATGAGTTCCTTCTTATAAGGTCTTTGAACACCATTCTCCTTCAATCCTTCCAAACTTGACCGAAGAAGTTTTCATGAATAAAATCAAAGGATTTGATTCTCCAAGTGTTACGAGTAGCCAAGACTCTAATTCTCATCCAAGAACAATGGTCTCGATGAGAGTTTAAGAACTCTAGTTCACAAGAACCGTGGGGACTCCAATAAAGAATTTAGAGTGAATAATGAGAATGCTCAATTTGTATATACTCTCCAAAAGTGAGCAATTACATGACAAAGTTCCTATTTAAGCCAAAGAAGTGTGCATGAGAAGTCAGACTAGCCTAAAGTTTAATTAAACCATGGTTTGGTTAATTAAACTTTAGGCGCCCAAAATTTGAATTTGAAATTCAAATTTTGGGTACGTGAATCTAGCTTACCCATGTGTTCACAAATCTAACCCATGAGATGATGCATTTGGATGTAATTTAGGTGCAATTTGAGTTATCATTTAAACATGCCATGTGCTAACAAATCTCGGTCACATAGTGCTCAAATGAAATCCAAATGTAACCTAATTTCATCTAAATGTGTAATCACATGCTAAATGCACCCATACTATCTACATGGCCCAAATACACGACCCAATAGAAAATCCAATCTAGGAAGCCAAAATATAAGGTTAAAAATATACAAGCCCAATGGGCCTCAAATCCTACACTACATGGGCTTTCATGAAATAGCCCAACAAAAGAGTATCTTGGGCCTATCCTGATGGAAACTTCTTGGAGAATCCGGAAGGATGATGGCTTCTTCTCCAAGTTCTTCCCTAGACCTTTGGCTCCTTGACTCTTCTCAAGCTCCTCCAAAACCTCCTTAGGTAAAAGAAGCTTTGGTTTTCACCTTAAAAGGTGAAGAACACTCTTCAAGTGATGTCACTCCTTGGAAGAAGATGAATCACTTCAAAACTCATCACATTCTTGTATGAAGAGGATAAAAGAATTAGATTGAAATCAAAGACGTTTGAGACTTTTAGGAAGAAAGAATTCAGAGAATAAACTCGGCATTCTCACTATAACATCCAAAAGTGTCTACAAAATGATGGAAAGATTTTATAAAGAGAATAGGTAACTTATGGTGTAAGCTAGTCTAACCACGGTTCAAATAAAACCATAATTAGCCTTCTTACACTTAAGCTAACTATCCCTAGTTGCCTTCCTAGAAGCTTGTGGAGCAAGCCAAGCTAACCTTAGTTTAAAAATGACTTAGGTTAGCTTATTTTAACTTCAATTAGCTAACCTAATGATTACTTTTAGTAGTTTAGTTGAGATGTCACTTTCAAGGCCATGTGAAAGTTTCTCTTACAAGCTTTGGACGTTGGATGGCTTCCTCACCAAGCTTGGATGTCCAAACCACTTGCCCAGGCAAGTGAACGTCCAATCTTGGTGTATTTTAGATATCCATTTGGGCCATCCAAGCCCAAACACTCCCATGGTCTTTCTAGTTACACCTCTCATAAGCTACTAATTACACCAAAATATAAGGAACAAAAATCCTACACTACTTGACCCAAAATACAAGGTCAAATGAAGTAAAAAACTCCAAGCAACATACCTTAAAATCCTAAGGGTATAACCTACAAAGAAAAATAAAGATGTCTTACAAATACAAAGGCAAAAATAAGTCTATTAAAGTATCTACTATATATAAACTCAAACTATATAAGGTGTGTATAATAGAGACCGTGAGACTATAAAGTGGAATCATACTCAATGCTTATATAGAGCATAGGTCTAATAAGTACCTCCTCTGTAGAAGACTCCTCTAGTCTCCTAACCATGGTCCTTGTTAAAGGTCGAAATACCTTCAAGTGTGAGCTTCCTATGGGTCAACCTTCACCCTTCTTGATCTTATCTCTTCCAAAGGGATCCTTGGGGAGTAGGTTTCCATCATTCCTTAAGTGAATTTGAACGTGAAAATGGAGGAGAAACAGAGGTGAAGACGCAAAAAACTCTATAGTTTGGAAGCACTTAAGCGAAGGGAGCAAAGGATTGCTCACAAAGGTGCTAATTCCTAGAAGTGTTCTAGGAACTCTAGAATTTCCTAAGCTATTTTGGGACTTTCAAGAAGAGAGAATTTGGTTGAAGCAAATGCTTTGAATATTAATCTCAAAAGTGAATAAAGTGTGAAGGAAAGCTCAATTTATAGACAAGGTAAGCTAGCTTTGGTGTCACCTATCTAAGCTTGCATTTTGGCACCTAAAATTTGAAATTCAAATGGAATTTGAATTTCAAACTCTTTGGCAGCCACATGTAACCTAAATGACATTTGGACCGCACATGGGGCTGGCATGTGAGTACTCCGTCATTTATCTCTTCATTAAGTACATAAGGCATAGTGAATACTTCATC